AAGAGCATTGAAATAAACCAAACAAGCAGGGAAGATGAATAATTAACCAAGTGAAGCCATAAACTAAACCAGGAAGAGAAAATTAACACTGATCTACAGAAACTAAATCTAAATGCACAAAGAAGAAAGACAAGAATAAACTAAGAAACTAACCACAAAGAAATTAACTAATATGGAAAAACCTTATAGACAATAATGAACAAAAATAACTGTAGACAGCAAGAAGGTAGAAGAAAAATCCAAACCTAAACATCCAAGCAATCACATAGGAACTCCCAATCCCTAACACCCTCAAGAGTTTAGAAAGACACATACATTCATTATTCTGGGAATAAACAATAAATAGACCAGCTAAATAGGACCCACTCTTTTCACAAAAGTTAGAAAACTGTACATTTTGTTTTTTATTAAAGCAGAAGAATGAGACGTTTTCAGCTCTGCTGCATTTTGTTCTTTTTTACTTTGTTTTATTTAAAATTTCTATATTTAATGTATGGCTTTTTATGTGAAATACTAAATGAAATTGCTTCCATACTTATACAATTTCTTATTAGTGACATTTTATTGGCGGAAAAGTTATTACTTGGTACCTTTACCTGCTCAGCAACACTTCAAAAAGTAGAACTTTACTGTCAACAAGACAAATTGGTGCCAGTTCCTTTCAGTGTATCTTGAATAATGTAATTCTCAGAATAACCAAAATAATAACTGCCTTGATAATAATTGCATTATGCAGACAAATGCACTCTGTGCACAAATATTAGACAAGTTTTAGTTTTGACCATATCATCATTTTCATACATATTTTCCAACTCCAAGCTGTATAAACTTCAATACTTATTTAATATAAACATATCAGCTGATGTGACTTTGTTTAATCAGGGAGGGTGCAGCCTAAGGAGATCAACAGCCTATAATATATCAAGGTCTGCATAATTATTAGGCAGCTTCTTTGCCTCAGGCAAAATGAGCCAAAAAAAATCTTTAAGAGACTCTGAAAAGTCCAAAACTGCAAAAAGGTTTTCAGAGATGCTGCCCTCTTCAAATTGTTAAGATGTCAGAGTGTGATCACAGAACCATCAAACGTTTTGCTGCAAATAGTCAACAGGGTCCCAAGAAACGTGTTGAGAAAAAAAGATGTAAATTAACTGCCAAATATTAGAGAAGAATCAAAGTGAAGCTACCAGGAACCCATTACCTTTCATTGTTGTCTTATTCCAGAACTGCAACCTGCCTGGAGCGCCCAGAAGTATGAAATGTTCAAAGCTCAGAGACGTGATGAAGGTAAGGAAAGCCGAAACCTGACCACCACTGAACAAGACACACAAGTTGAAATGCCAAAACTGAATAGAATAATTAAAAGGTAGAAATCTCAGTGGCTAGTAACGGCGCAGGACAGGGAGCCTCAGCATGTCAATAGCTGTTTCCATTAACCATGAAATTGGGCAAATTGGAAGTCCAAAAAAACACCACCAATTTTGCAAAACAGTTTTTCAATTAAACATTTTTACGCTAGAATGAAGGGGTCATTCGGCCGCATTGAAATAGTCACAAAACTGCAATGGAATCACTGTTTTCCCATCATGACTCACATGATCAACAGCTGCTACTGTTACTAATGGTGAAAACGACAAAGAAGATGACAGGAAGAAGGAGGAGGAGGATGATGATGGTTTGCTTTTGGTTTTTTCTGACTACGTGCAGCTGGCTCCACCAAAGCTTTCAGAGCATCAAAGTTCATAAAACGTTACGTGTTGAAGCCAAAGCTTTCTTAAATTGCTAAAATTAAGGCGCATAATGAGGCAATCTAAGCGTGAACATTTCACAGCAATGTAGCAATCTGAATATTAAACTGAACTTTACTATCTTGCTTTGCTGCTATGATTAAATGTATGTAATTGGCATTAATCTGTTTCACGTGCTGAACCCCCTACATCCAGCGTCTGTTTGTTGACGTGTACTTGTAATATTCTTATGATCATCCAGCTGTTTATTACAGTTCTCATGTGATGGTAAACATGTTTATGACGTTTTCCAGGATGCTCTGGAATCTAGTATGTGCACTGTAAAGTTGCACAAAAGCAGAACTGCGTAGAACGCCGGCATGTCCTGCTCAACCTTAGGAGTTCCTACTAACCTTTAGCAGAAAATCAAAACTCCACCAAAGCTTCTCAGGTTTCCTGAAATGATCCCGTTACCAAACATAACTGTTCAAAAATGTCATCCAAAAAGGATAAGATGCAGATTATGAGGAATAAAAAGCTACATTGCTCAGCAGATAATCCTGTTATCTTGCTCAGAGATTTTAACAGATGCATCATTTCCTGTCTTATTTTATACGTAGAGAACAATAAGTGAAGAGTCCAACGAGTAAAAATAAGATCCTTAAATCAATGTTTTGGGAATGTGGAGAGTATTTGCATATTTGTGTTTATTTTAGACATGAAAGGCTCTGTGTGTGGGTGTAAATGCATGCTTGGGATTATGTACAAAAATTATTTTTATGGCTAAGTTCTTTGTGCATTTTAGGATTCATTTGCATGATATTTTCTTGCTATGCATAGGCAATAAACAAGAGAGTACCTTGTATTACTTTTCTGTATAATAATGAGATATTTGGTGGATAATTACTTTGAGTCAAATTTGTTGTAAATCAATTATATATAATCTAACTACACACATAATAAATATGTTCTTTATTTTTTTCCATTGAACATTTAAGGAACTTTATGAAAGAGACAAACAACAACAGAACACAAAGAACAACGTTTTTGCTCATTGACGTTAAGAACAGAACTACATATTTTTCACCAATAGTCAAAGACAATTATATTCTAATTCTGAAAAACACAATAAAGACAATTATGTAAATTATTGAACTTCTCAGAAAAATATCAGTGGAGGTTCTGGCCAGCCATCTAACTCATTTTCTTTCCCATAGAAATTCCAACTTGGGTCACAGTCCTCCTGGTTCTGCTGGGTTTACTGGTTTGTGCTGTTTCTGGAGGCCTTTTATATAATTTCCGACATAAATTTGTGTCTGGTAAGTCTATTTCATAACCACATCTATTTCTAACATGCTGGGGGTTTTGGGAGTCTAACTTTGAAAGATGGACAATTACAGACAATGAGCTACTAGCTGATGCTACAGCTCATAGCTGTCAGTTTACAATGCTGACTATGAATATGATATGGATTAGATCCCCATCATGCTGAGTATTTCATTTAATTCTATGGTCAGAAACTGAAACCACATTAACCCCAATATAACTTTATGGGTTAATGAGAATAATGTACAGTTTTATAACGATATTACTGCTGTATTTCATCAACCCATCTCTTCATCTATCTTGTGTTGTGAAAATAACAGATTGAAAAGAAACTATGGCAGACTTTCTTTAATCAACATTTTTCAGATTCATGTGGGATTTGGCATCTTGCAAAAATATTCACAGCCCTTTTAACACTACAAATTTTTACTTTATAAATGCCAAACTATATACACCTCAGAGATGCACACTCAGAAACTTGTGTTGCTCATTTTCAATTCACCAACACCGTTGATGACCAGTGGACGGTGCTGGTTGGCAGCTCTCTAGGCTATACGGTGCTGTTATTAGCCCTTTGGATGCCCAAAGCATAAATGCTCTGTGCTGTATTTTCATTTGTTCAAAGTACTTTGGTATTGCTTCAGTAGCTCATGTAAAATGGTGCTTCGCTGCATTTCTTTTACCAGCTGTAAAATAATCGTGAAGCTTTTTTTGTTTCTTTCCCTCTTTATGGCTTCATTGTGTCACAAACTTAAGTGCACAGTTATGAAGTTCTGCTTCATTTCCCAGTGACCAATCTGGGTGTGCAGTGAGATTAGTGTGAGTGCATATACCTGTGTAAATAAACAATGAATTGAGACTTGTGTGTTTAGATCTCACATACATTTGTATGTATGAGACTCTCCTGCTCTGAAAGCTCTCGGTTTTGGCCAGACTTGAGGAATGAGGCAAAATGGAACTGACCACTGGGAGGGTGGGCACCACAGAGAGACTCCATGAAGACACCACACAGGAGATTCATCTTTTCCTCAAGTGGAAATTATACTTTGGTACTGAGTCTGTTATATACATTTATTTCTAATATGATTACTATAATAATGTTTTTCACAAGCCATACCTTTTTGGCTTGGTATCAGGCTTGCTGGTCTGATTCCACAGGACAGGTTGGCTCTTCCTAAAAACAGACGAGCCTCATCACCTCCTCTAAAAAAGGAGTTCTGAGCTCTTAGTAACCTGCAGACCTCCTCTGTTAACCAGGGTTTTAGGTTGGACCGTACTGTGATGGTTTTGGTGTCAGTTACACCATGAATGCACTTCTTGATGCAGGTAGTAACAGTGTCTAAATGGTTCTGAATATTATTCTGGTGATGATAAGTGGTTGCCTTTTTAAACTTTCTCTTGCTCTCGCTGAAGGCGGATGCTTTCTTCCCCTGCTCCCTCCCTGGCCTTGCCTGCCCTGCTTGCTCTGTTCTTGTCCTGTCTTTTTCTCTTTTTCTATATTTTTGGGGCCTTTCTTTGCACATCATCCAGATCTACAAATTATGGATCTGGTCAACCGATCTCTCAATGCAATTGATGAAATTTTTGACGAGAAGTCTGGGCACAGGAGAGCCCTCTTGTCCTGCGGGGAAACACCCAGGAGATTCACCCTGTACTTATTCATGATAACAGGATTTCTGCTGTTTGGAGCTTGTGGATTCCTGGATTATTGGCACATTTGTGACGGACTTGGCCGAACTTGCAAACACTCAGACTGTTGGTGTGGACAGAGACAAGGACTCTGAAACTCACTAATGGGATGTAATCGATCTTGGAGAAGTTGCTAGTTTCGGCTAAAATGACCAAATTAATTTGGATGATTGGGAACTGAGATGTATCGGAGAGACTTTAGGGAAGATTGAAATTTATAATCATCCCGACCTCAGACATTCTGTTTCTGAATTGGCTTTCCCCATGTGGCCTTGGAAGGGCTGCATATTTCTACTCTCCTTGAAGATATGTAAACACAGCGCTCTTCCCTCCGCACCCCCTCCTGTTTCCATGGAGCTGTGGAGCTGAGCGCTCCCAAGGACAAATAAAACATCAGCCACTAAGTCACTCTTTCTTAAACATGACATCTTTTTTAAAAAAAGCTGAAAGTAGGTGGCAAAAGATTGGACTTCAGGTTCACTATGATGTCTGTATAGAGAGATGTCACAGATACACTAGTATCTCAGAACATTAGAATATTGTGTAAAAGTACATTATTTCTTTCATCTCACAGAATGAAAATATAATTTTACAGAGGTTCATTACACAGTAAAATATGTCAAGCTTCATCTTTTTGAATGACTTGCAGTGAAAGAAAACAAAAAAATTCAGTGTCTTGGAAAATTTTGATATCACTACACTGTGTCTGTGTGCAGCTAACAGGATTAGCAGTTGTATGCCAACTCATAACTCCAGCTTGGATTGGCCGAATTGCACAAAACAATTAGAAATATTTCATTCTTTATCTGTAACCTGTTAAGAGAGGAAATACTGAAATAATGTTTCAGTCTTTCAAGACATGAGTGACTCAGAATGTATCTGTGTGTTTTTGGTTGTGTGGTTTATGCATTTCATAATTTATTTGCATGGTCTTTAATTGTTAGATGCTGAAGAGGAATTTCTATGTTATCTACTAGAAAATAATCTGATCTAACCCAGTTAATGTACAGAATTAATGTACAGTTAATTTACAAAATTTAATTTTGTAAATTTCATTGAGAGAAGATTTGTTGTTTATGTGACATAAAAGGAATTTAACAAAGTTTTTAAGTTTTTGCATAAACACTGAGATATATTATGCACACTGTTAAACTGAGGGCTGTACGAAAATGCGCCGCTTAGATCTAATTGGCATTATTTTTTTGATAAAATTTCAGCTCGGGCCAAAATCCTCCTGGGGGTGCTGGTTGTGCTGGTTATTCTTGGTGTTTCTGGAGGCCTTTTATTTCATTTCCAACATAAATTTACATCAGGTAAGTCTTTTTATAACAATATCATTGCTAGTATAGTTAAAATTACCCAAATTATTTATATTTGCTTATATGCAAGAAAACTTGGTGAGAACAAGTTTTAGAGATTTCATTGTAACTTTTCTCAAACTCAAAAATGTACATATATTTGGTTAGTGTCAGAGATTATTATCTATTATATAGATATATATGTATATATGTGAAAATTAATTTAAGGGAAAATAAGTGTGCTAAATGTTTTCAAAGTTGGCAGAAGTGCAAAGCGAGAAATTAACTGAACTAACAGTGGACGTGTGCCCGTCACTGGTTGTACGTCTTGTTTTGTCACATGAAGTGGAATTTCTGCTGGGCTTTTTGGAGAACAGTGTTTATATGTGAGGATTATCTCAGGGCCAAGATAGACCAGAGATCCACAGTAGACAGTGTTGTGCAGGAGACTTAAATAAACATTAGAATGGAAACAATTCCTTTAATAATTTTCTTCAATGTGACTGTGTGTATATGTATGAGTGTATTTTGGACAATTTGTAATTAACTCAATTATTTTTGGCTTTGTATTTTGTCAATTTTAACTTTTATTTCTCTCTGGAGCTCTTTTGCTACATCCTGGAGAGACATTTACATTGTATGTACATATAGTGAAACGTATATTATCTGACCTTATCTTGTCATTTCCTAATTATATAACTGGATTAAACTGACTATCTCTGAAGAAAAAATGAGATCATTTTTATAGAAAAAACTGTCTCATGACGCGTTGTCAACCAGCTTTGTTATATAATTAAATTTAGTTCTTGAAATGTCAGTAGTTGGATACAATCTTGCATTATAATCTCTTTAGTTCTAAATATATTATTATTTGCACCTAGCAATCATTTTCAAGGTACTTGATGGAGACATACAAAACCTCAAAAGACAAAGTTTTCACTAACTGATATAAAGAAGATAAATACTAAATAATTTACCAATTTTCAAAGGCAATTATTAAAGGAAATTGACATAAGGATAATTATTCAAACCATTAAACTCTTTACAAAATATAAGAGGTCTCTACTGGACATGCAAGTGAAATCTCAAATTGATCTTTGTCTCTTTTTCATAGAAATTCCAACTTGGGCCATGCTTGTCGTGTTTCTGTCATTTTTTGTTACTTTCGATGTGGGCTTTCTACTTCACTTTAGACAACAGTACAATTCAGGTAAGTCCCTTTTACATTTCATTTTTTTAAGTGGAAGTGGGTAATAAACAGGAAGATTTCAGAAAATAATTCCCGGGGATGGGGAGAGGGCATAGAAACAGAAGCTCTCTCTCTTTCTTGCTTCTTTTCGACTTGCCCTGTAGGGCTGAACCCGCACCATTTTAGACACTGTTATTAAAAGTAATAATAGTTGTTATAACATTGTTATAACATACTAGTGCATATTCTACCTGTTAGCATATAATTTTTTAATATTCAACCAGCAATGTCTGCAAAGGTTTTTATATTAATTGTATTGTTTATTTGATAAGGAAAGACACAAGAAACATGTATAGCCATAGCTCATTTACAACATTCGTACCTAGAAGGACCTTTCGATTTAAATAAGAAGTTAACATCAACAGTAAATACAATAAAATAACCAAAACTAAATATAAAACAGTGCATTTGAAACTACTGAATCAAAACAATATTTAAAAGTGAGTACTGTTCTTGTTCATCTTTATCCAGTTCTTAATCCTTGAAGTGAACATTTTAATGTTAATTATTGTCTTAAAATCTGTCATGATTGGTGGTTGAGGTGTGGACACAGCTGCAGAAAGGGGGAGGCAGAAGTTGATTTGAAATGTACTGATTTTATAGATTTAATGAATAACTAGAACATACAAAGTCCAGGCAGCACAGATGAGTAATGGCACAAAGCTCAAACACTGGTAGCACTGCTGAGAAACGGTGACATAAGACGAGGATCCGGCGAGTTGTGGGTGAAAATGAGAAGGTTAAATACTGTGAAGTTGAAAGTGGACACAAAGGAGCTGGCTTAATTAGATAACTTATTAAAGGTGTGAGTAGTTGGAGCAGGAGCCAGCTGAAGGGTGGGAGAAAGGAAACTACAAGGATCTACAGGGGAAACACAAAAGAGTGTCTGAGGTAACATAAGTGATCTGGGAATAATTCTAATACTAAGAGACACTAAGATGGAGACAATTGGATAACTAGAAAGTGAAAAGGACATGAAGGGAAACCAAAATAGAAATAAGGCTGATGTAAGAACTAAGGAACACAGAGCTAGAATAACTAGAAGGACTAAGCAAAGAAATAACCTAACTAGAATCACCAAGAAAGATGTACATAAACTCAGACTTCTCAGAATAACTGAAACTACGATGATGAAATAAGAAATAAACATAGCTAGAAATACTGAAAGGAGGAAAGCAAGAATAAGACAAATCTAACCAAAACTAATTACATCACATAATAAAACTAAAATAACATGAAGGGCTAAACTAAAGTGAACTAAAACATAATACTAAATAAAATTAAAAACAAAACCAAACCCAAAAACCCAGAGTCCTGACAAAATCAGATGGTAATGAGTTACAAAGCTTACAACTCCCAAAAGAGAAGGCTGTCTGACCAAAGGTTGTCCTACAATAATGCATTTTAAAGTCATGATTGGTGGTTTTAGCATAGGTGTAGCTTTTCTGAAGGACTGGTGTGGACATGTCCCCACAATTTGGCCTGACAGGGAGAGTCCCCATCAATATTTCCTACAGCTTTTTCCCCTTTACATGCTTGCATCTATTTGCGGACAGTAACTCGGCAGGAGCTACACACTGTGTTCAAAACATTAACAGCACGACTGCTTTTTGAAATTCATTTGTAAATGTAAATTACATGTCCGCTCAGTGACATATATTTGTTGATTAGACATCATGTGACTTATTGTGCTCCATTCCTTTGCAGTACGTCGGGAATATTGGTGGTTTGTAAAATGACAGTCAAGGAAAGCATCTGAAAAAGGGATGCAGTGTTTTGCTATTAATTGTCAATGTGACAACAGCAAGATAACAAGGTCGAAGGAAATCACATTTCACAAGTCAGTAAAAAGTTTTAATTAAAAAAATATTAAATTTATTTTTTTACTATATTTGCTCTACTAATAAGAGCAACTAGCAGGTTAGCGGCTCTTTTTCTGTGTAGGTTAGTTGCTGTAGCTTATCTTTGACAAACTTGACATGTAGCCATGCTCAGTGTCAGGGGCACCGCCAGAAATCTTGGGCCCCCTGACAAAAAATTTGATTGGGCCCCCCGCGCAGCTGCTGTTACAATTTTTTGAGTCTATTTGACCCATAAAAGGCGTCACAATTTTAAAAGCTTGCATCTGCCTTGCTTTCTTTGGTCCAATACTGATAACTAGCACAATATTTACTGCTCATGAATTTAACATCCAACAGTCCACATCCAGGATGCAAGTAGGTTGCTTAAATTTTTTCTATTAGTTTTAGTTTACTGAAATGTCTTTCCATGAGCAACAGCCAAAAGCAGCATGCAAAAATACACATAAAGCAATCCAGACTTCTCNAAAATCCAATATAGTNGCATNTTATTCAAGCTGCAGTAGATAACTTTATTAAAAATATGTTTTCTTCGTATTTGTTAAAGCTGTCACAATGTCGTAGCAGTTTGCTATGAGACAGATAATCTGTGAAAACAATCAATCTCCTCCATCTCCTTCCTGAATTATTACTGATTAAAGTAATGCACCGTTCTGACCAAAGCAACCAATCAGAACTAGTAGGACGCTCTTAGCGCTGTCAATCAACTTCATTCACTAACTGCTAAATGTGGTAATGGTGGGGAAACAACTTATCATTTCAATAAACCATTTATCTGCCGTCATTGGTAGCTATGCTAACTAAACTGAGCATTCACAGTTTGAATCTGCACAGCTCTGTGCTATGCTAGCTGCAGCATAGCACAAAACAAGGGGGAGGAAGGATGAGCAGCACCACATGAGATTGTGATTGACAGCACTAAAACTCTCCTGCCACTGACTGGTTGTTTCTAGCACTGGGAGAAAGCAGAGGAAATAGATTTTTTACAGATTACCTCTCATACCATACTGTCACAACATAATGGCAGTTTTAAAAAATCTGTGGAAAAAAAATATAAAAGTGACATACTGAAGCTTTAATTTCACTTAGGAGAGGATGGGTCAGGAGGGACGTGGGTTAGAACTGCTGCTGACTGACTCATCTGTTGTTAAGTGGTAAAAAGTACAAGGGACAAGTTAAATATATGAATATGTTGGTCATTTCTTTCCTTAATTCATTAAATGTTAGTGAAATGGAGGCAAACAGTAGCTTGTAGCTAAGCTAATTATGCTAAATGATTGATAATCTCACACAGTCTACCCACCTCTCTTGGAGAAAAACTGGGTTATAAATTAACACTCTTGCCTTTTTATCTCTCTCTACCTCTCTCTTTTATTTTGAAAACCTGATTTTATAACTTTTCTTAGCAGCATGGTAACTTCCATAATCGTTGGTGTTTCCTACTGCCAGCTGCTAACAGCTTCACTCTGTAGCGCTCCAAGCAGGAACGAACCATTTAACGCAGATAGGGGGGTGGAGGTTCAGGGCAAATATGGATGTGTGTTTTTTGATCTGGGAGTGGGAACATTACATTTTTACTGCTAAAAACAATCTTTGAAAATACAATATGATTAATTTTGTAATTGACAGGGCCCCGATTTTTTTTTTTTTCTATGAACAAAAAATAAATAACGGAAATTGTGGAGGCCCCCTGCTGGTCAGGGCCCCTAGAATTGTCATCACTTTTCCCCCCTTTACCGCACCCCTGCTCAGTGTATTCCAGTTCAATAAACACAAAAATGAGGCAACTCACACATCTGCTTTCTGACAAATCATCAGTAGAGCAGGTGTTTAAATTAGCTAATTAACCATCACTAGTGTTCAGGCGAGGCGATGACTTCTTAATGATCACAAAATAAATATCAAGCCTGAAAATTCAAAAATACTTTAAAACTGTATCGGACTGGATGTTTTGTTTCGGTGTTTTTATGTACATTTTGTGCGGGAAATGTGTTTGAGTTTTTTTTTGTTAATTCCTGATACACTTGAGCGTAATCTTTACTCTGTGGGGTCCCACAGCTGTTGTCTGTCGGTTGCCATGGCAACAGATCAGCGTGTAATGTTACGCTAACACAGACTACTGGTTCTATGTTGTTCTCCATCTGTCTTTCTACATCTCTGGACTAATTGTATCATTTGTTCATAAAATGGTGATACTCAGAGCAATCATCACCTATGATGAAATATTCACAAAAGATCGGATCCAAAGTTTGTTAAATTTTAAACTTTGGCTCCTAAAGCGTCAGTTAGGTAAAATTAAGTTATGGGCCAGCAGCATAAAAGTAAATTGTGCTTGGTCCTCTCTTGTACTTGTACGGAACTGACAGAAACCAAACTTTTTATAGAGTTGTATCCAAAGAGAAAACATATTTTACTTATCCAAACATCTGCACTTTTCTCAGCTTTAATTTAAGCCACGTTTTATAGAAATGGCATAAGAAATATGGGGGCTACAACCATTTCTTGGGACAGATTCCTGCTCATCCTGCATTGGAACACTGGTTTTGTGAACATGACTCAATGCATAGTAATGGCATCTGCAGGTACATGGCACTGGCTGTCGGGGCTAATAGGCAATGTTTAATTCAATAAAATATATCGATGTCACTCTATTCCCCAACTGCCCCTAAAAGAAATGTACTGAGTCAAATCTGACCTAGAAGTCAAGAAGGAATTCAGATTTGGAGAGATGTGGAATAACATCTTGCCTCTCTTGAGGTAAGTAACATCTTGCCTTAAAAGAGGCAAGATGAACCACCCCTATGTTAAAATCACCCATCAGATAGCGTTCCCCCCACTTTAAAACAGGGGAAACGGTATCTGATGGGTAATATTGAGCATTAAATTGCATTGCCCTGTTTTTAATTCATATAGCACTATGCTATCTATCTATCTATTATAATTATAAAATATATAACATATTATAATTATAATATATACAACATATTATAATTATAATATATACAACATATATATATTATAATTATAACTATAACATATATTATGTATTATAATTATAATATATGTATAAAATATATATATTATTTATAATAATTATAATATAACATATATATTTATTATAATTATTAGTATTATTACTATTAATAATGTGACAACTTTGCCGAAACATGTTGTTTGAGCTTTCACGGTGTCCGTAGTTCCTCAGACAAGCGCGCCGAACAAGTGCGTGCTTTCTCAGTGCTCATCACGACCACGCGCCTATTTTGCCGCGTGGGCGGGGCGGAGCAGCAAGAAGATGAAGGGGGAACCATATCTGATGGGGAAACGCGGATTGACCAGCAGCCTTCAAACGGAAATAAAACACTTTTTAATATAAGTTGCTGCTTTGACATGATCACAGAACTGTCAAAACATATGTACAAAAATTCTCAATAAAACATAAAAGAAAATCAGACACCAGACAAAGTGAATCACAGCAACGTCATCAGGTGTAAATGCCCGTTCCGTGTTTTTTGTGCTGATTGTAAGTTGTTACCCATAGTACCCAGTAGGGGCGCTATAGTTTGGTTCATGTTGAGTTAGTGCCTTCATTTAAACTGTAAAAAGTGTTGCTAGCCTCCTGTCAGTCAGCACTTTGGGCTGAAATAGACATGAAATCCTGCTTTCAATCTTGAAAAGTATGCTCTCGAATTATGGCAGAAAAATTCCCCCATAGGTTTAGTACTGGATAAGATGTGTTTTTGCTGTACATTAAATACAAATGCTGCACTTCTATATTTCACATTGTTCTTTTGAATGTAACTTCGAATATAACCATGATAACCTTATAACACCACTGCCAGGAACATGTGTTATTTGGCATAAAATGCAGAACTTTAACATAATGAAAGACTTTTTTTTCACGGTGAATGTGTATTGCAGACTGGAATACATTATATTTTGCCAGCATAATGGCATCTATCGAACTAATCTTTTTCTTTTCCCATAGAAATGTCACCTCGTTGTAAAAGCTTACTTGTTCTGAAAGCTCTTCTGTTTTTGTTGGGTCCTCCTGTTGATTTGGGCTTTGCTTTTCATAAAGGTAAGTCCCTTAATTACAGTATCAATGCAAAAATCTATTATTGAATATCAGGACTGTTTCAAACAAACACACTCAGACATATTTGAACGTTAAGAGCTGAAAACCTTCACAAGAACGGTACTATGTCAAGTTCTGCATGGGAAACAGTCAGGTTTTCCAAAACCAGATATCCTGGATTCTGGTTTGCGACACTGAGTCCAGGTCAGGTGACAGAGCTCTGTACATTTCTGATCAAGCTGATCTGAAAAGTGGAATTCTAGCTACTGTCAATGAAGATGGACCATGAGAAAAGTCCCATCTGTCCGGCTTAAAGCACAAGGGTGTGGTTGTCATAATAAAGAAATTTTTGTCTAAGTTAATGAGAAGTTGTCATAACAAATACATACTGAATAATGTCAACATTGCATTAAAAGTGTCATTATTTACCGAATGACACTTAATGGTAACAGTCAAATATTCATGAAGACCTCTTCATGTTCATGACAGGTGTTATGTCATATTTGTGATAGTGTCATGTCAGTCTTTATACACATCTCTTCACATAAGGTGTTATCCAAATTTTTGGAGCTTATTAAGATGCAGGAGTTGCCATGACAAACTTGTATGTTTTTAAAACCACGGCTTTCACCTTGGCATAATCACAGCTATTGGAGTCAGACAATGTAGAAAAACCTTCCTGTGTACGGCTTACAAGCTCACACTGCAGCAACAAAATGTGTGCAGAGTCTAACCAGCAACTCACCACAGCCACATGCCCAAAAATGACAAAGGAGGAGTCTGGTTTACATTCATTAAATTTAGGCAACAAACATCAATTGCCAAAGACATCAAACTCTGCTTCCACACCATCAGCATCACTATGTTTGACTTAGTTTAACTTTGTTCAATGTCCAACCTCGTTTGCTCTGCTTCCAGTTGGGATTTATTCTGAATTTTTTAAGCTCAAATTGCAATAATAAGTTCTCTATATTGCTCAAATATCAGGCTGCAGGGTGAAATGGCAAGATAGGATGCACTAGGCTTACTAGTTGATTGCTGCAAAACGTCTTTTTCTAACAAATTTGCGACCAGTTTCTCGTTTCTTTAGAAAGGCGCTCAGCAAGTTGAAGACTGTACTGCTTACCCATTTAAAATAATTTATCTTTAGTGAAATCATCCACAATCTCCTCTAAGGGACAATCAAACTCAGGAAGAGAAGTCATTTCTGCTCTCAGCAAAACACCATAAAAACCAATTAAGATAAAGCACTGATTCATGTGCATAAACATAACCAGATTACGGTACCCTGCTAAATTAGCTGCCTATCCAAAACGTAGCTAGCAACAAGCTGATCCCGAGTCTCCATGCGAGGTGTTATGCATGTTAAACCAGCAGGCAAGTAAGGCCATCTATATAGGCCACCACAGAAGTACAAGTAGCTTCTGAAAAATAGGTACATTTCTATGCACTCACTTCTTGGTTGGGCTTCCTCTTGCATAAATTACTGCATCAATATGCCACAGCATACAGGCCATCAGCCTGTGGATCTGTGTAAACATAGTGGAAGCCCAGATTGTTTTGATGGCTGTTTTCAGGTCATCTTCCTCTTGACCACAGGTCCACTTTTCCTCCAGACTCTGGAGAAAAAGTGCAAAGTCTGCAATTCAGTTGGATCTTTATTTCCAACTGAATTGCAGAGTTTTTCATCTGAAAACATGAATTTATTTTCATCTGAAAACATGAATTTACTTTCATCTGAAAACATGAATTTACTTTCATCTGACAACATGAATTTACTTTCATCTGAAAACATGAATTTACTTTCATCTGAAAACATGAATTTACTTTCATCTGAAAACATGAATTTACTTTCATCTGAAAACATGACTCTG